AAATGCAAAAAGTTCGGTGAACGAACGGCACACGGCTGCCGAAAATTTCCATCACACACATAGCTGCCGTTGTTGCTGCTGCAACAGGCTGCGCGCATAGCCGCATAGTAGTGGAAAACTTTTTTGTTTATGACGTTCCTTTAAGATAAGCAATGTGCTCGGCTGTTCGGTTGACATTTGATGTTCCATCGTAAATATGGATATCTTTTGTTTTGAACCAAGATTTGTTTTTATGGTCTTCAACCGTCATGGTTTTCATTGTTTACACACGACACACACACACACACATCCAGTAGAATAGCAAAAATGATCCGTGTTGGAACCATGGATCATGGATGGCAAAACGTAGCCGCAATAATAATCATCATCCAAATGAGGAGTAGAAAAACACACCGCTCGATAAATAAACATCATACCATAAAAATTGAATAAAATAAATAGTTCTGTTTCCAATTGTACGCGCTCGCGCACATACACACACACACACGAAACGAACGCACAGACCAAAAATAAAAAGAAGAGGACAACAAAAAATATATTGATCACGTATAAAATGCAATTCGAATTGCAATTGCACGCCAATAGTTTTGTGTGTCGGCAATTTCATAAACGTGTCTCTTTCGTGTCGTTCATTCGTTTAGCTATGCTTTTTTCTCTCTCTCTACTGTAACTGACGTTAAATGTAGTCAAGCGGTGACAGGAGCTCGTATCTGTGTTTGCGTGTGTCATGCTTTTCAAATATGAATGATGTTCCGCCGCTGAGAGAGCAATTGCTCGATGAGCTGATGCTGTTGCTGCCTTCCAATGATCAAAGTAAATATTCGAAAACTAAGATCGAAATAACTAACGTGCGGGCTCGGGCGCGCGTATAAGGCGAGCGATCGACAGGAAGGACAATAATCACAAAATATGTAAATAAAACCGGTAGAAGCAGCGCAGCATAGAGAGAGCACATACAAAAATCAACGGACCTTCGGCGCGTGCGACAACATATGAAACAATGATTTCGAAATTATTAGCAACTCTTTCTATCTCCTTACTATGCCAACAATATCGATTGCTGCTGAAATATGTCCCCGTGTGTATGTGTGTGTGTGTGTCCAACATTCAAATGAATATTTCATTTCAATCTCAATCGATGACTATGAAAATAAAAATTCTTCGCGTCCAGAGAATGTGCCATCATCATCAACATCATCGACGAGAGTGATGAAAACGAAACAAAAGCGAACCAAAATGCCGAAGTTACAAATGAATTATTGATTTTTTTTTAGTTCCTCAATTTGATTGTATTAAACATGAGTGAGAGGCTACTTGATTTCAGACGTCGATTTCCAAAACAACGACACATACACCACTTTTGTCGTGAATCGAATACAATTTTCCAAAATCGACGAACCAACAATGAGAATTGACATGGAATTGAAATTCTAGTAATCTGAACCAATGAGCAAGAAATTACTTCAACAGTTTATATATATATATCTGTACTTTTCAAGATTGGCTTATGAATGTGTGTATCCTAGTTAAATGACTCCTTTCGCCCAAATGCGACTCACTCTTACTCAGTCTTTCTCCTTTTTCTTGCTCTTTCTCCCTCTCTCTCTCATACACTCTCACTCGTTCACTTGCTCTCGCTCACTCTTTTGCCTTAACTCCGGCCATAATCTCCGTACCAAAATCAAATGTACCGTTCGAATAACCCAGTCAATTTATTTTTATTAAGAAAAATCTAGGATCAATGATATATCGAAAATCCGGTGCCATACATTCTTCGTAACCGATAATCTCCACCACTCGCATTCTCATTCTCAGTCTCTCTCTCTCTCTCTCTCTCTCTCTCTCTCACTCTAAAAATGAACTCACACAACGTGCATGCTTTTCCATATTCCATCTTATATTGTTACATTACTATCTCTCTGTCGCTACACAAGCACCAAGCAAAGCAGTTCAATTGATTTTGTCGCAGATATTTTCGATTTTGTATATAACAACCAAAGAAACATCTATCATGCTTATTCAATGGAATGACCCCGGATAATTTGTACCGTCTATGCACACATTTCTCTCTCACTCTTCTCTCTAATAATAATGAACAAACGCAACTACTCATAAATTCATCGAAAATTAGCCGGATTGTACAAGGTCCTTCGTAGGAAACATAACAAAAATTATCAGCAAAGACGATTCAAATCTCCGTCAAAGACTTCATCAACACAGCTTGAATTTATGTACCGGAAATTATTGAGATTTTCGGAATGAATTGTTGAAATGGCTCTATTTTCTCCAAAAAAAAAACATTTTACCTTGAATTTTTCTTCGATTGTTTTTTTCACATTTCTTCTCAATATTTTCCGTCTATTTCTATAGTTTTTCATCTTCAAAAATGTTTATTCACTCGAAATGATATTGGTTGTTGGCGAACAGAGTTTCACTTTTGATTTTCTTGTTTCTTCTTTTCACTTTCACATATTTTTCATCGGCGTCTTTTGTCATATGGTTGCTATCGATACATTTTGTCGGTAGAACCAGAAAAAAACCAAAGGCCTCGAGGCATTGCGCACCAAATGGCTCGCACTATTTTTAGTCATTCGCCTCCTTCACAAATCGGACATAGTATTTGCGATTTTGTCTTCGGAAAAAGAGTGAAAAAAAACCGAACGCAAAACGATTTGATGTGGTCAATCACCTGTGAGTGTCGTATGCACACCGATCGATTCCAATGAATTTGAAATTGAAGGAGAAAAGAAAAAGTTAAAGAAGAAAGAAAAAGTGACCAACGATGCATGTTCAATTTCACAATGAATGTGAATCGTCGCCGTTGTCGTTGTCGTCGTCGTCAATTGGAAATGATGCATTTGAAAAAGTTGTAATATGATAATGTGAGCAAAACGACTTGCGTAATATTCGATTTGTCCATTGTGTGATGCGTTAGTACATAAAAACCGGCTCGTCTCCCGTTCTCTCACTCTTAGGTTGCTCTTTCGCCTTCGCCATAGAGCCCGGTTGCTGTGCATGTATGTAAATAGGGCGGCATCGAATCAGTAATTTTATTTGAGTTCGTATTGTGTTGTTTACGAAGAATCATTCGTTAGCTACATATGTATAGTTTACCGGTGCGAGAGCCTAAAGTCCTGTACATATTTACTTCGTTTAAAACACCAGAGATGCCCAGGGGGAAACATCTGTTCGAAAAAGTGCGAGAGAGTGTGTGTGTTTTTTTTCGGCTTCTGTTTCTGTTGATAGTCGTCATTCGACTGATACTGCAGTGTCTTGCTTCTGGTTGCATTTGTATTTAAAACGAATATAGTAGCAACGAGGACGAGCCCTCCAAAATCGATGCTTTGCAACAACAAGAGCAACAATAACAGGGCAAGAGAGAGAGAGAGAGAAAGAGAGAGAGAGAGAGAGAGAGAGAAATGAGAGAAGGAAAAAAAATCAGAACCGCATCTCACATTGCATAGCGTCAAGTACCCATTCATATGCTCAAAATAAAACACCCTCTTTACATAAACCAACAATAGCAAACAATCTACGTAAACACACTCACTCACACATACATACAATAAAAAGGGACATAGAAGAGCGAAAAAAAAGTGAGTGCGCGTTGTAAACGCACCGGCATCACATCGAAAATAACGAAATTTATTCTTTTTTATTATTATTAATTATTATTGGGTACATATTAAACCATTTGTGTGTTCAATGTTCATATTCTGGCGTCTGATTATTAACAACGATTTTTTTTCCAATGCCACCAACCGTTCGATTGACGAACAAGATAGAGATACATGTGTGCATGATTCGCTTTTTTGTTCGCTCTTGAGCTCTCGACAGGAAATATGATTCCGCTCCCGAGAATGGGGTGCATTTATTTTAATCGCTTAGCAAAGAATTTTCACCATTGACTATGGGTCAAAATGGGTGGTGCACGTTGACACATTTATACAGTGGATTCGGTGTGCCTAAACACCAACCGATGAAAACACTTGACGATTAAACGATCGAAACGAATATCCACTTGTAATTTACTTCCGAATTTCATTTCCGCTTACAATTTGCAACGGATCACTCAACGAATTCCGGAATTCGAAAGAATGGCAAGAAATTGGCTATTATTGCTCAACAATACCGGGATATTTCATTGATTGGTTGCCTCAATTTGAAGCAAAGTCAAAAATTCGATTCATTTTTCGAACTCTAATGGGAAAAAAACTCTCTTTTTCCCAAAACTGCTGACTTGTTCTCAATATTTTCCACTTCATTTCTTTTACAATTACGTATAATAAACTATTTTCGTTCCTTGGACATCATTATGAGCGATATAGTGTCTTTGCTGAATGAATCGTTGGACGACTCGAATCTTCCTTTGACTTCGATGACTCCATAAATTCATTAAGACTTCGTTAAAACTAAAAACATTTAAATGTGAACGGTAAAAAAATGTCACCATTCCTGTTGGGTGACAAAAACGAAAACGAAAAAAATCAACAACAACAACCACATTAAAGCTAACCAAATATGGTCTAGGAAAGTCTAATTGAAAGCAGTCTATAAATAGTGTTGCACACTTTAACCGACCACGATCACCGAAATATTAACAGTTCTGGGTGTTAACGCCAGAGTTTACGATCGTTTAATACCATTTTTTATGATGTTCAAGATTTTTAGTGAAACCATTCCACTGAAATGAGAGGAACTGTCCATTCAGGAAGTAAAATGTGCCGCTTGTAACTTTATTGATGTCAACACCAACATGCATTGACTTATAAGGGGGATCAATTATGTCGAGCAACTGTATACGATCCATATAAATAAATGAATTCTGAAAACCATTCAATATAATGAGAACGGAAAATGTTTGAAAGTTTCTCTTCACACATTTCCCATCATCATCGTCATTACAGTTGTTGTGTTAATCGCTTAGTTATTATGTAGCCAAAAATGAACTTGGGTAATTTCTCTAATTTTATTCTATGTTTTTTCTCGTTCTGTTCCAGATTTTTCCTCAAATTCTTCTTAAAATGTAATCAAAATTGTTTGAAAAATGCTGGAAACCCACGAGACATGCGAAGATTTCAAGTGAGTTGTGTATTCTTTTTTCTTCTTGATCTCTGGCTGTTCGTAAATATTTGTTTAGGTTGTATATCAGTCGGAGGTAGGTGGTCGAAGATTAACATTGGTGCATTTTTTATGTTTGGTTGTGGCGAACCATTATAAAAGGCGAAAATATTACTTGGTTCGATGTTTCTGTCCGTTTCAAAATTAAATTTAATGTTACCATGGGACTGCGATTGAAGAAGAAGAAGAAGACCACCGGCCAACATTACCATCAAGCGCTGCCGTCGAAAAATGCGCCCTGTTGGAACTATCGGTGAAGCTGGAAAAATTTGCGAGCTAGTTTCGACTCATCCCACCCACTATCGTGATGATATCGGTCAAAGCGAGAGAGAGAGAGAGAGAGAGAGAGAAATGTAACCCGAAAAATGCGCTCGTATCCACCATCCAAAATTAATGGTTATATATTTGCGTTCGACGGAAATTCACATTTTCTATGCCACAATGCTCGATTAATGCGCATTTTGGTCAATAATCGTAACCAATTTGTAGCCGAGGCGAAAACGAGAATGAGTAAAAAAACGACGACGACGACGACGACGACGACGACAACGAACGGCGCAAGATTTATTTCTTTTGCAAAATTCCGGCATTGCAAGCAGAAAATCGAGTAATCGATAGTGTGGATTTACTTTCTTGTCGTTTTTTTGTTCACTCTCTCTCTCTCTCTCTTTCTCTCTCTCTCTCTCTCTCTCTCTCTCTCTCTCTCTCTCTCTCTTCATTCGTACATCCCGTTAACTATCACATATGCTCAGTTATCCATTTTGGTCTTTGGGATCGGGTTCGTTTTTTTTCCTCGTTCTGTTCCTCCTCGTGTCTTTGTTCGTTCTCTAAATTACCCATCGCAAGCATATTTCGCCGTTAAAATGGACACATTGCCAAGGATATCGCGCCATAGCATAAATATATATTAATGTTGGATTATCGTATTTCATCGCTTTCTTTGAAGTCTCCTGAAAAATTATTCGAGCTCTCTCTTTCTTAGTTTCCGTCTTTCTCTCTTGATGTGTTTCAACCCTTATTTTGTTTCTAAACCAAACACTGTCTTTCTCTCTCTCTCTCTCTCTCTCTCTCTCCCGCACAGGTGGTAATTGCAACACAAGTTTCAGTCGAAGGTCCACTGATGGCCATCTCCGATCAAATGTTTGTGCACAACAATTCGAAGCATGGGCGACGAGCCAAGCGATTGGACGCAAGCGATGGTACATCACCGTTATCAATTTCACATCCATTGGCTCCAGACAGTACGTACGATGGTCTGTGTTTTTTTTACGTATTCGTTTTTTCCCGTACACCAACAGAAAAAAATCAGTTATTTTGCGTCGAGAGCTTCATTTTTGTTTTGCTATATCATGAACACACCACAAAAACTCAATTCATTTTGATTTTACTCTTGATTTTGATCTAAATCTTTTCGTGTGGTTGTTGTTGTCGATACATTCAATGTTAAAATGTTTTTATATATTTTTTTTTTCAAAATCATTCGTTTATTATTTGGTACACATACATCGCGAGAGATTAAGTCAAATTTCATCAAGCCAAAGTACAAGTTCTCAACATCACAATCGCTTTCAACAGTGTTGAATCAATACGCTCTCCTGTTGGATGCTGTCATGTCATCACTGGCACATTTTCCATTGGTTTGACGCGGTTCGACTTAACCTTTCCATCAAATGCAACTGTCTGGCCTCTGTATTCGGTATCAATAACACAAATTTTTCACACGGTCCGTCCATTGGAATAGGTCTCTACCCACCGATGCCTGTTGCAACACCGTGTATAAAAGCAATATCACCAACTGAAGGATGGACCATCGGCGGTGCACAAGTTATCATTGTCGGCGATAATTTTTTTGATGGCCTACAAGTCGTATTCGGAACAATGCTCGTATGGAGTGAGGTAAATTACACACACACACATATATATGAATGTCCGAGAATGAAAACGCAACTTCTATTCACAACACA